AGGGATTGTAACCTATATCAGTCTGGTCGGAAGAATTCTAATTCTTTKGAATGTCATCGCGAATATAAGACATAGATTGTATTTACATTATCGATCGATTACAGGACTAACACAACATGAAAGRTGCAAATATACAGGATCCCAGCAGAAATACATAAGAAGAAGAGTGCATCTCGCTAGTAATCTAGTCACCATCAGATGTCCCGATAATCTATTTTTAAACAACCACTCGCAACGCGCGCAAATATATCACAGCTCCTGAWTGGTCCTTGTTGACTTCAAGAGTCAGATAGACAAGAAAAYAKTTTTTTTATTTGATGGAGGTTAAGTGAAGTTTGTGATTATATACTAGCATTTAACACAACTTTTGCGGAACAACCATTTCTGAATTCGATAGAAAACATAGTTTACTSATATGAAGTACTTCAAGGTCAACCTAGGGCGCTGAGAAAACAKGGGAAACWTTAAGACAAAGTTGAAGTAACATATAGACAAACGGCGTGCGAAATAACGYGGGACATCTGATGGTGACTAGATTACTTGTGAAATGGAMGCTTCTGGTTTTGTGCTTCTTATCTCAGGATAGAGTTCTCCACCGTAGCTGGTGGTGTCGATAATAGACCCCTTGCATGTGTAGTCAAAGCAGCTTCATCTGGAGGACAAAACAAAAGATTTTTGCCCTCTTGGGAACWAGAATCTATTCATTTGTACTCCAGTTGGAATTGCATTCCCACGAACTTCAAGGGGTCTATAAAGAAAAATCTTGAAATTGTTTTTTTATGTCCCAATGAATACGAGATCTTGGGTAAACAGAGATAGCTTCGTTTTAGCATTTACAGACCCCTTCCCAACTAGAGTCTCTTGAACTTTCAAATTATAGCTCTTCTATTAGATTGACTAGTACCATCTTGACATGATGAGCTCTGATCGTCTTTAAGGATGAATTACAGGAAATCCCTCAAGAAGGAGTTTTACTCTTCTTCTTTATTTTCTTTGGCCTATAAAATCGGTTTCTCTTCTTGAATTGTTGTAGTCTATAYTCTAACGAATGCTCAGGTTGATTGTTTTGATAATTTTCCACACTTTCAGAAATTTGATTCATTGTAGCTTCCTCGTTACCAATATTCGGAGCCGTAGTATCTTCTCCATTRCCTTGAATTTGATCTATCGTWGCTTCCCCATTAGCTGTAAGCTCGTTAATTGTATTACCTCCATTGTCGGTAAACTCATTTATTGTATCCTCACCAGTAGGAGTATGTTCATTTGCAGCATTTCGTCCATTAGGCTCATTCATCATATGATGACTCCCGCTAGCATCATTCATGKCAATTGCTTCACTTGATGTMGGCTCGTTCATTGCATTTCCTCCACTAGCAGTAAGCTCACTCATCGTATTTCGTTCATTAGCTGTAACCTGATTCAAGGTATTTCGTTCGTCAGCTGTGAGTTGATTAATGTCCTCATAAATTGCATTACTTCCTTGATCTCTATTGTCCTCAATGCTGTTCTTGTCATTGTTGTTGAGTAGTTCCTTTAGTTGAGTTTTCATCTTTTTGATGTCTTGTGATGTTTGAAAAATCATCTTTAGTTTTTGGGCTTTTGAGCTTTTCTTCTGGGCACCTTCCTCTGTTTTCGTCTTGTCTCCTGAGGAATTTTTAAAAAACAAAATTGAAAAAGTTTTCTGAAAATTGGGAATTAAAAGTTGTGAACTCATTGACGTCCTTGGATATTTTGTTGATTTTCAAGCATTTTTCGATCCAAAAAATTAAAAATTATTTTGACCTCCATATATGGAGCTGTCAATCAAGCTTTTTTTGAATCAAACTCCTCATGTTATGATAAAGTACAGCTCACTCAGGAGGCTATAGCCCATCAAAATGGAAAACAAAATTGAAAAAGTTTTCTGAAAATTGGGAATTAAAAGTTGTGAACTCATTGACGTCCTTGGATATTTTGTTGATTTTCAAGCATTTTTCGATCCAAAAAATTAAAAATTATTTTGACCTCCATATATGGAGCTGTCAATCAAGCTTTTTTTGAATCAAACTCCTCATGTTATGATAAAGTACAGCTCACTCAGGAGAGACTTCGATTTAAAACTCACACCTATTACCTAAGCAGTCATCGATGATCTCATCATCTTGTGAAATATATACAGGTCTACATTTGTAGTCTGAAACGCATCGAACATCAAGGTCACATGCYTTGCCACCGCTGCACGGGTCGATACCACAAACCATTGCTGGTGGAACCTTCAGCAAGCCTGAAACATACAAAAAAAAAACGAGTGAATAGATCAGTAACACGGGTTGACATAGGACGAATCCATGCAAATGATTGAATTATTAGATGGATTGATGAATGTGTGAAAAAAAAGGCTGGGGAAAGGACACTGGACATTATTACTGGCACTAATTACATTGCTGCTTATACAGTACAAGACAAGAGATATTAAATACCCCTTTACCGGCTCCATTGTATGCTAATCGAAAATTAGCGGACGAGGCTCGATGTTATATTGAATTTAATCTTATGAATAGATGAAGATTTCAAAATTAAAGCACCGCACCTACCTCTACACTGCAGCTTTTTACCCTTGGAGTCTAAAAACAACGGGGCACAGTCCATTGTGACGTGRCATTTGCTAGCTTCGTCACTATAGCAGCCTGAGATTTTGCAAGGATCATTTTCACATAYAATTTCTGGAGAAGATGCCATGACTGTAGAATCACCTAGAGGATGAACACAAGTAATTTGCATTGAATTCCTACTCCTTAAATCTTAGTAAAGGTATATCGATGCGTCTCAAGACTTTTGACATTATAGATAAACRCTGCAATCTGAACTGAGAGACCTGACATAACGATTTTAACAACATACTGACAGCAGAGTTTGACATTGTATCCTTAATAAAGCAYGTACCTTTGCAGGACTCCAGGATGTTTCCTCTATTGTCAAAAAATACAGGTTTGCAATTTGAAGAGGTGACGCACATTGCGCTAGGATGGTTGAGACATTGGGATATCTTGCACGGGTTGAATCCACATAGTGATGTTGGAGTTGGTTGATAAATGATATTGCCGCCTGAAAATTTATACAACAACAATATATGATTACGTGAAACAGTTCAGTTACATTGCATATATGTATAATCGAAAAAAAAGTACAAAAAGCGTTAGCGACCTTGGAGACTTGGAAAAGGCACATTCCGAAGTGAGTAAATTCGTAACCCAATAACCGTTCCTGAATTATGTAATTGGTGCAAGTTTCMAACTAAAAAATGTAAAATTAACCTGAATGAAAATGGATCAAAGTAATGATAAGTTTTACCTAGCACACAACTGTGAGTGTTACAGCGTTTCAACTCTAMATATTTGCCATCGCATCCTTTTGATTTATCAGTACAACTTCTTCGTCTCATTTTGGCTCCTCCACCACAAGTCTTTGAGCAATGGCCATAAATGGACCAATTACTGAAGCCAMCATCTTGAAAGATAAAAAACATGACATAATTATCTTCTTTAGTGGAAATAAAATATATTTCAAAAAAGTCGCTTTGTTAGTTGACTTTACAAGATCTTATAATACCTTGACACTTTCTATATTGGCACTCTTTTAGTTCTTTACTTGGACCATTGCAATCTTTGCCTCCGTTTATAGGAGGGGGATTAGTACAGGTTCTCACTCGCTTACTCTTTCCATGACCACACTTTGGGCATTCAGTCCAGCTGCTCCATGCCGTATACTGACCATCTCCTAGTGTAGATAAACAAGCAAAACATAACAATCTTATTGCTGTGGTTGTTGTTGTTGTTGTTGTTGTTGTTACTATTATTATTTATTTATTTTTTTCGTGTATTGGATGTTTAATTTTTGTCTTTTGCATATTTCCATGCAGTCTAGTTAAAAAAATAAATAAAAAATACATATAACCGTCTTACTTGGACAACCGTCAGCTTTGCAAACACTGATTTCAATCTTTGATCCCTTGCATGGTTTTCCACCATTCAAAGGTGAAGGATTGGTGCAGTATCTCTCACGTGATCGTATAGAAGTATGGCCACATTCYTTGCTACAGCCTGACCAGGCTGACCAGGSAGTGAAACCACCATCAACTACGTATATTAAACCATRTGATTATTATATAGGATAGCTAATGTGATTCGGTTTAAGTAACCGGGCTATTGAATGATGGATTCCATAATCTGATCACAAAAACTCCCATGATGCTAAACAACAACTTTTTTTTTAATCAAAATTCTTATTTGCTAGAGAGTTGGTCAAAGAATTATTGTGTCATCGATCGGGCAGTGAAATGAGCCGTTACTTTGAAAAAAATATGAAAAAACTGCCCCATTGTCATGGAATATGAACCCATTCGGAAGTTATAGAATATTTGATGGCTAGCTAAAGGTTTACTAATTTCAATAAACTTCCAGCGTGAAAGAAAAAAAAATTTACCATACCTTTACACACTATGTCTGCACAGGGTCTAGTCTCAGCAATCTCTCCAGTGCATGGTTTCCCACCATTACGGGGTGTTGGATTATTACAGGTGCGTTTCCGATGAGAGGAAGCTGTGGAATGACACTCTTTAGGACATGCGCTCCACGCTGACCACTCAGAAAAACCACCRTTTACTATTTAGATACATTAGAATGACAGCATAAAAGAAAACGAGTAAGTTATTAGTTAAAGATATTGAACAATGGAATGATAATGGTAGAAACAGCGRTGGGGTAGCTGTAGCGATCATTTATTCATTTCTAGTTCACAACAGATGCAATGCACTAACTGCTGGAATTATAATGAAAATTTACTTAAGCTATAGTTGCTTTTGAAACTATTTATGACGTTATGCCACAATGAGAACATCACAAYTATTTTATAAACGGCAAATAATAACATAAATTCTTAACATAAATAAAYACCTACCGGGACAGTTAAGTGGTTCACATTTTCTCTTTTCGAACAAACTTTCTGTGCAATTTCTACCACCAAAATTTGGCTKAGGATTTTCACACTTCCTTGATCGTGTTTGGTTAAATGTACTACCACATTTCATGCCTGGACATTTGCTCCAATCTGACCAYAGAGTTAMCCCTCCATCGACTTGTAAAGAAAGCAAAAAGCTTAATTTAGCAAATATGATATCAGATATATRTGCTTATTTTGTACTCACTTGGACAAGGGKGTTGTCCACAGTTTCTGATTTCWGTAGTCTTGCCAACACATGGTTTACCACCATATTTTGGAACAGGATTGTTACATTCTCGCTCTCTTCGGGAAAAAGCTGTTGTGTTACATGTCTTGCTGCAAGATGACCAGGYACTCCATTTGCTAAAACCCCCATCAACTAAAATGCAGAGCAAACTCAATGATTACTATAAAYATAAAATGGTTCAAACAAATTGTTATACACTTCAGAAAAAAMCTAAAATTAATTGAAAGGACTGCAGGTTACCTGGRCATTTTTTAATAGGACATGGGTTTGTCTCTAATGATGAAAARCCACAATGCTTGCCGCCATATTGAGGTGGTGGGTTGGTACAATTTCGATAACGTATCTTGTAAGCCCGTTCTCCGCATGTAGGTGTGCAAGGAGACCAGACAGTCCATTCTGTATAACCACCATCGACTACAAGAAGCAGAATCCAACAAACAGAGAGACTATTAGGCATTACGGATACAAATCAGCAAACKTATTTTAATGGGCTGTAATTCCTACCTGGACACTTCTGAACTCCGCATTCCTTGGTATCGTAACGATGYCCTATACAGCTCTTACCAGGAAGACACAATCTTTCACGCTTTGCAAAACCATCGCYACCGCAAGAACGTGAACATTTACTCCAAGCTGACCACGGTCCCCACGCTCCCTTTTCTTAATTTCAAAAATGAAACACCGAATGCATTAGAAATAAGTCATTTTTAAATGTATTTAGTAGCGTTACGGAATGTAAATAATCGAGCATTGAAGTAAGTCAATATGAAYACAACGYATTTTAACAAATTACCATTTTTTGGTGGTTGACCTTGCGGCATAAAGGTTTGGTTTCCGATTTTTCCCGCAATGGCAAAATGGGTGCATGATTTTAATTCDCAGATTTTCTTCTCTTCGATAGCTCCAATGCATGGTTTCCCTCCAAATCTTGCAACGGGATTTGAACATGAACGATTACGCATCTTAAAAACGTCTGYCCCGCAGGTTGCCGAGCAAGGAGACCATGCGCTCCATGTTGAAAATCCTCCATGAACTGAAAACAATATAACAAGGGTAAATGATCCCTTCTTTTTGGCCAGCAAGGGGTGTATTCTATTGTACTTGGTGATATGAAATACCTCTGTAGTATTCSTAGACATTGTTGGTATCTAACTGTCTTTTGACCGCATGATTCACTTTTAGATTCATATACAACTATTTCAAAAAAACGTTGTGGGGGAGAACGGCAAACGGCGACTGTTGAGCTGAGATTGCACGATCGAAAATAAATATGGTTACACTGTTTGGACACACAAAATTTTACTTATTGGATTCACCTTGCACAGAGAAATGGAGAATAAATGGAGCCAGTGTTCACAACATACGATCAAATCTATTAAATCTATAAACCCATGGCTACTTTCGGCCTTGCAATCACCGGTCGACAATTGACATGCGCCATTTATCCGACAACCTTAGTCCTTGTCCTAAGTGAACATTTTTATTGCACGTTAACTTTCTCAAAAGTGAAAAACCCCTCCAAACGATTAGTATGATTATTCTATTCTTATGTTATTTGTTTACGTACCTGGACATTCATTAACTGAACATGTTCGATTCTCTTTCATCACACCCGTGCAATCTATTTCTTTAGATAGGCATCTGCGCTGTCTAGTTTTGTACCCCTCTCCACAACTCTTACTACATTCTGTCCAGCCTGTCCACACACTGAAACGYTTCTTTTCATCATCGCTTAAAAGTGTTTTCAATTTTATGGAATTCCTTGCTTCTTCTTTGGAATTGTCAAGGGTAGTTTCTGTGGTATCTTTATTTAAGGTACTATTCTTTTCAGATGTTTTATTGTTCAAAGCATAACTCAGTTTAGTGAAAGTAGAAACAACTTCTTTTAAAACGTCAAATAGTGAAGGACGAGACTTTTGTTTGTGTGTTGAAGAAGACTTTGAAGTTTCATTTCTCTGCTTAGTGTCAGCAGTTGACTCTTTTACGTGTGTACTTAGATCGGAATTTACATGATCGCTATCAATARGTGTATTRGTTTCATAAGGTGTGTTATGRTTTTCCCCATTGGATATGTTTGCTTTAAGGTGTATCATATCTTTTTCATTRTGMAAAATGTGRCTTCCATCTTTAGGTGCGTTGTCCTTAGTATCTRGAGCTTCTGCGSCTTTCTCAGATGCAGTTTTCCCTATTGGGAGTTCATACGTTTCTGCACTGCTACCATCATTGACTTGCTTTCCCTCTCCGTTTGCATAATTTCGCAACATGTCCATTCCTGTTTTGAATATCTCCTCAACGTCATCTTTTGAAAGTGTGCTATTATTTCCGTTTGAAATTGAGCTGCTAGAGGAATTGACATTTCTTACAATGTTTCCTTTTGGTACTTTAGCACCACCGGAATTTAAATACTCAGGGACGTTTTTGGCCTGAGTTTCACCAGTATTATTCTGAAGAAATTTGCTAGTTAGAAAACTTGAGCTATTTGTATTTCCAGATGAAGTATTTGCTTTGATATGAACTCCACTTTCTGGAGATAAACTGCTGTTATGATGTTTCATCATTATTGTACTATTGTGTTTTCGAGAACCATTCTTTTTAACCRATTCATTTTTTTCGTGCTCTGCAAGAATCTCTACTAGTGCATTTAGAGCATGTAAATTAACTGTATCATAGTCATCGTTGTTTGATTTATTGCTTGGATTYTCTTCAATCTCGATATCGCCACTTCCTGAACTAAAAGAATTTTCGAAGGCACTGGTTTTAGTGTTTTTCATATTGACTTCAATTCCCTTGTCATTCATACCATCACTACTTTCATTTACATTTTCATCTTCCCTCTGGATGCCGTCATTATTATTGTTATTATCATCAGAATCACTTTTAATGTCATTATCGACAAGCTGGATTTTGGAGTCATTGTCTTCAGAATCACTTTTTTCAGATGAAGGTGATTCTTCTGCAGTTYTATGATTGGTATCGTCGGTAATTGTATCGTCACCTGTAGAAGAGAACTGTTCTAAAGATGATGCCTTTTTCATGACTTTTTGATGTGCTTTTATGTYATCAMTAGAAGACATYTGCTCTTYATTRYCATTTCTAAATTGGTTACTTTTTTCAATTTTGTTTCCATTGCTCTCAATAGGAGTCTCTGCAACTGACATATCGTTACCACCATGATTGGTTGCCAGAGACAGAGAACTGTTATTTCGTACATTGCTGCCGACTTCATTATCCGTGACRTCATTTTCCATGTCATTATTGCTGATTTTTGTAAAAATACCKTGAGATCCATTGTGATTGGAAGATACCTTATCATTAGTAGAGGCATCGGAGTAATTTTCCAGCATATCAGTGTTCTTTATACTTGATAGAGCTTTTAATACGGCATCGCTATCGTTCATTTTTAATATTTCCCCTGCAACTTTAAAAAGCTCGTCATCAACGGTTTTATTGAGTTTTTTATCCTCCACATCTTTATCTGCAGAATCATTGGTTGAGTTAGACACTGATTTTAACGGACTTTGTGTTGTCTGTTCCTCAACTGATKCCKGTTGTGAGACGGATTGATTCGTTTGGTTATTAATTATRGTAGTATTATTATCTTCCTGAGATGTATCTGGTGCATCGTCGATGGTATCAATTTCATTTTCACTAAGAATCARTCCGGAGTCAGTGTGAATGTTTGGTGGTGAGAAACTCTTTTGAACTTTGACATGTGATTCCTGCTCTTTGTGCTTCTTTTGTGCTTGTTTCTGTTTGGATGAGTCAAAGGCTTCATGTACAGCTTCGTTGAACATTTTCTCGATTTCTCGATTTTCACTACTTCGATTGCTTTGCAAATCGATTTCATTCAGAGTTTTGTTGATATTCTGTTGAATTGTTCCATTGTTTTCTTGYATTTCTCCATTGTCCTCATTGCTTTTGCTTGGACTGATTGTATCATTGCCATTAAAGTTCACTGTGAGATTTGCATTATGTTCTTTTTTATCAGCATGCAATTTAGCATCTTTTACAGACGAACGAATCGAGCTAATGGTATTTAACCTTACTTGATGGAATCCTCTTGTGACTGTGGTCGTTGGCTTTGCCGTCGGGGTGACYTCTTGAGARTTATCTAGATAATAAAACGTGATACCATATTACAGAATTGCGCACGTTGAAACAATAAACGCTTAAGCTACATGAGTGTAAACAAATAAGACGAAAAGAAAAAGTATGCGATTAAACTGGAATGTTGCAAAGCTGTAGATTAAACAAATTGTAATGCTAAATGAAAGACCACGTGGCTAGTTTGGATGACAATATGAAACCATTTATCGTGAATTAAACCTATTATTATATGGATAGGTTTTTACTTCATGCCACAAACCTTCACACTCCGGTATCTTGCAATATTTTACTTCAAAACGCCAGCCTTTGCAATCTTGTCCACCATTGGATGGCGGTGGATTTGTGCATACACGCATGCGCATTTTGATGCCATTTGATCCGCAAGTCTCTGAACACTCGGACCATTCGGTCCAGGGTGTAAAGCCACCATCGACTGTAGAATTAACATTGGTTAGAAAAAAAATGAATAAATAAGTGCAGTATGGCTTGTAGTCAACAATTTTCCAGTTACGCCAAGCACCATCTACCGCATACTTAATTCGAGAAATGCTAGTCTTTGCCAAATGAATATTTTACACCATGCATTTGCAATGATCAAATGATTTACATAATTTTTAGMAGTTGAGCTCAAGTAAGAAGTAGGAATAATACTAGGGTTAACAAAGCATCCAATGCAAAGAACAATAGCACTTACCAGGTTTTATGTCAGTATTTTCATTATCTTTGCGAGTAGGAGTAATAAGAGATGATTTCTTTGTTTTCCCCTTCTTTGACTCCTCGTCCTCTTTTATGTGTTCAAATGCTGTTGCAATATCTGAGAATATTGATGTTCTTTTCTTAATTTCATCGTCTTCACCATCATCTTCAACGCCATCTCTCTTCACTGATTCACGAACTTGTCTTTTGATYTCATTGGTGGAAGAAGATTGCTTTTTGGTGTGTTTATTCTGGTGGATTTTTGTATTGACACTGCTTGGATCACTACTCAATTTAGCYYTTAATCCCAAATTAGYGATAGTCCTAGCTTTCAAATTCTTGTTTTTAATAGCTCTGCTATAATATTTCTTTTTRATATTTTTCATCGTTAAATTATAAAGTTTACTGGTGTCTTTAGATCTCTTTGGATTTTCTGAGCTATGAGAATTTTGAAGAGTTTTCATTGCATTTGTTGCACTTTCTTTGTTGGGAAAGTAGTTTTTACTCTTACTATATTTCAATGCATCGTTGTTATCTGRAATATTTTCAATCTTATAGCGGTTAGGCTTTGCTTTAAGAGAGTGTAATTTGATTTGCGTTGAATMACCTTTAGATTTCCCTCCCGAATGCTGCTCTTTGTTGCCTTCTGATGCGATGCTATTCAACTCACTGTTCTGAAAGTGCATAATTTGATTTAACTGGTTTGCATCATCTTTATTGATATTTTCCACTTTATCGCTTTCATGAGTGTATCTCATCCCATGTGTTAAACTTTGACTTGAAGATGGATCATAGACTTGAAAAATGTTTTTTTCWATGTCTTTCAAGCCTTGTTGATCGCTAATGTACCTGAGGGCATGAAGTGGTACCAAATGTTTTGCAGGATCATTATATTCTTTTATCATTCCTCGCTCGATTTCGGGCAAACTTTGCTCAAGGTCCTTCAGATCATCTGGCTCCGCGATAAACTGTGCACCGGCAAGCTTGCCATTATTTTCTGGCAGGATAATGTCGCCGGTTAATATGTCTCGCTCWTCTCCAGAAAGCTCTGTAAATGTTAAGTCAGCATTATCATCCGTTGTGRTCTAGCATAGAGTTTTGGATACAWCTGGATGTATAGCTCATTCCTAGATCTTTATGACGTCTGAAAACCTTTTGTAGAATTTGAGGATAAAKGCGAAAGAAAGAGGATTTTTKGGGGGTGGAGCAGTGGTGAGTTGTGGTTTCTCTCTAGGAACACAAYAATCTGTTTAAAGGACTAAGTTTGTGAAATAAGCAATTAGCCAATAATTAAAAGTGATCATGAGTGTTTTACCTGGACTTTTAGCAGTCTTCACGTCCTTTACGAATGTTAACAACAACCAAATAGACACAATGTGAACCAATGCTGTCATGTTCGACAAGCTGCCGATAGCTTCAACCAATCTTAAATCAGAAAATGTATGCCCATTAAAGAGTAAATATCATCACTGAATATCTTCTATTCGTGATATACTTTTAAAAATGAAAATGATGGTTATTTTTATCATATTGTAAAATCATAATAATATTTCAATATCTTTGAGAGACGTCTATTATGACCGTGTGTGAAATTGTTCACATCTTTCAAAATTCAACACGATTGCTCCGCCACGG